ATGACACCACCCATTGCAAAAGCTTGTTTGATTCGTTGAGGTTTCGAGATTTGATCTCTAAAAAGTACTGAGAACTGGCGCAAACAGATATCTGTATGTATATAATATATATTTCGCGTAGCGTGGAATGACAAATTGTGGCAAAAAGCATGCGACCAAGTCAATTGCTACCAAGATATCCCTCTCACAGCGAAGAGTTAACTGAGTATTTATATGGTTAAGTGCTCAGGTGGTGATACGTCATGGAGTCAGGTTGCATGTGAAGTTCGAGGGTGTCGATGTCTAAAGTATTTTCAATACTGGGGATAGGAGAGTATCATTCGATAAGACTCCACTTTGTTGGCTGGTTTTCCTGATTTTAGTAGTCGGACCCTTTGACAGAGAAAATGGAAACTCGGGTTACGCCATCCATCACTGGAGATTATATTGAATAGGTTCACAAACAGATCTACTTTTGTTTACAAGTCAAGGGTATAATATATGTATATTGTTACGATTATATAGAAAGGTCCCAGCTCATTTTATTTCCAAATTCCGTTTTGTACAAAAGTGACAGTGTAGTTTTGTACTACATCATTAAATTAGTTTCAGTGTTTATTAAAATTCAATTGTTTTGATAAAATTTCATATCCTTGGTTTTTAAAAAGTTGCATAACTTTTCTGTAGAATAAAAATGTTAGATAGGGCATTTCTATATTATGGTAACGTTATATAAGAACAATTCTTGGAGGTTTTATGTAAAATTACCTTCGAAGACTTGCAGTGAGAATTAAATAAGTTGTAGTAGAATTTTTCAAAATCTTTTTTATTTGGAACAATATTTAGATGTTTGGTATTAATTAGTTCATTTCCGATAGTAAACATTTTGATTCAAACATTATTTTTTTCGTTTTTATACAAACATAAATCGTTTAACTAATTATAATGGAATAATTAATGCACCCAAATATAATTTTTTAACCGACTTCAAAAAAAGGAGGTTAGGTTTGGGCTAACCATTTATGACCTGTACTCAGAATTTTTTTTAACTCAGCGGAGTGTCATTCTTAGGAATGCAAAGCTGTGTTAACTTTCTTTCAGAAATGTTTTTTAATATTGGGTAAATTTTCTCTCGTATACTCCTGCCATATATTAAATAGCACAAGTTTTTTGTTTCCGTTGAATTTTAATTGTTGATATCATTATTTAAAATTATTCTCTGGACTTTCTCTAAACCCATAAAAGTGAAACTTAAATTTTTAAATTAATTTTTACAGTGAAAAAAAGGTACACATATCGGCACACTATGTTGTCGGATGTTGTTTTTTTATTATATTTATTCAGTGCATTATAAATATCGCTAAGCATTGAAAAGAAATTTTAAGCATAGCAAATTAATTAATTATGTTTTCTAATTTAGTACAATTCATTAAACGGAGAGAGGGAAGCAACAATTCTGTGGAATACTGTAAAGCTACTATGTACTAAAGTTTGCTAATAATTACGCAAAAAAATTACTTTAATTTGAACTAACTTAAACTATGTAGGTACAATTGTGTTCATGAAAATAGTTTTGCGACAGCCTAAAATGGTAAAAATTACCAACGGAGCTGTTCGGTATTGTAAAATTGAACAGCTGGGCCGGCCACCATTTTATAGTTCAGGGTCTAAAGAATAGAACAGTTAATCAGTGCTTTTACAACGCATTGCCGTTTTATGATGCGTTTTAAAATGCATACGATTTCAAAATTACGTTATCATTTTATTTGCAAATTTAGCTTAATAGAAAAGTATTTTAACATTAAGAAAGATACCTTCATAAAAAACAGGGCTTAAAGACTTATATTCTTAAATACATTATTGCAAAAATGCTATTTTTGATTTTTAGTTTTTCATTCAAGAATAATCGATAAATTGTGATTATTATTTTTTCGTTCACATTTGATCGTTATTTTGTGATTTTTATTTTTTTCTTAATTTTTACCCGTTATAATGGAGACTGCCTTTCTGTTGCCGTTTTAAATAATTTACAATCTAAAAAATTAAACGGTGATGGTGTGATCGAAAAAATTAAAGTAAAAAATAACGATCGAAATTGATAGATAACAAGTAATATTTAAGCGAAAAACAAAACCGACTTCAATTCTCATAAAAAAATTTAAACCAGTAGTAGTATGGTACCTCCTCGGAGGTGCCATCTTTCCTTAAAAAAAAAATAGAATTATAGAAATCAGTGAACGTGGTCCAAAGTTATATGGTAACATACATAAAAAAAACAAATATTCCAACGAATTGATAATTCATCCTCTTTTTTTTGAAGTCGTTTAAAAAAATTAAAAAGTAACTACTATTCCTGACCGAAAAATAAAAATTATAAAATAACGATTAAATTTGTCCGGAA